GCACAGCCACTTTATTACATATTACATATGCCTTCCATGCCTCTGTCTTGTCTGTGGATGGTAGTGACAGGGTTGTTGTGGGGGTTATGCTGATGGCGGGTGTGAACACGGAACACGGCCCAACGTGTAATGCACACTTACTGAGCAGAGGCAGCTGCTCTTGTTAATTGTTAATGCCGAGGCACCCGAGACCTAGAACACCCTGTGCCTTTCTTCCCAGGGACCTTCCTGCCTGAGCCAGGACCTGCATGGACAGGAGGGAGATGGTGGCTGGTGCTTGTGCAGCCCTCTGGGAAGCAGGCTCTCCCACGCGGGAGCTGCCACACAGATAGCCGTGCGCTTGACCTGAAGAGGAAACTAGGGAGCCGGTGGCAGAGCTGGGTTGATGGGAGACTTGGCAGTGAAGGTGAGTGCGCACAACCTCCTTGGAGGGCAGCAGTGTCCCCGTGCTGAGCAGGTGCTGTCCTCTGCAGGGCCCAGAGAGGAGCCTGGACAGGGAGGGCTGCGTCGTGGACAGGGAGGAGCCAGAGGACGTCTGCGTGGATGGGCAGCATCACTTCCCCCCAAAGCCACCCACAAGTGCACCCCCCGCCGAGGGCTTAACTAAGTCATTTGGTTTTAGCTTCATAAGCTCTTTCTTTTGTTTCTGAAGAGCTGGCCAAGACTTAGTCCTGCTCTTTAAGGAGGAGAAAATTGAACTGTGGCTTCAAGATGGAACTGCTTTCGAAAGCCTTACTCGAAATCGCTGGCAGAGCCACTGCCCGCTTTCTGCCTTGTATTAAGCCTGAGACGCAGCCCCCACGGCATGCAGGGTGTTCGTCTCTCAGGGCGCTGATCTTATTTGCAACCTGTGGGACTCAGTTTGTGGCAGGCGGATAAATTCAGACGGTCTTGCTGCCTGAATTTCCTCCTCCTCTTACCCTTGACGTCTTGTGTGTTTCCTCTTGTCCGGGAGGTGAGGGCTAGTCATTATTGTCTCCAGCATTTCCATGGCTGGTGCCGGCTGTGCCAGAAGACACCGAGAGCCTGGGGGTGCGCACCCGCTGTGGTCGCCCCTGCTGCCGGGCTTGTGTGCTCGGCCACAGCGGCTTGGACTTGGGGAAACCCCTGTGGAGGGAGGAGTTGTGCTTTACTTTCCAACACCATGGACTGCTGACAGGGTTCCTTGCCGGCTAGTCTGGCAGCAGCCGTGATGCTCAGGGTGGTCCCCGCTTCCTTGCTGTGTCTGTCGTCCGCTCACATGCCAAGAGCTCCAGGGGACGGATTTTCTTCCTCTTGTTACCTCCACTGCTTACCTTGTTTTTGGGACATAACTCAGCTCTCAGCAGATGTTTCTTGGATGGACTGTTCCTGAAACCTGCCCACTGAGAACATAGCTGTTAGTCCTAATTAATTCAGCAGATAGATTTTTGAATCCTTAATCCATGCCAGGCCTTTGGCCAGGCCGTGTGTCCAGAGGCTGTGAGTGCTGTGCCTGCCTGACGCTTAGAAGCCTGTGCAGCGAGACGTGGGGACAGCTGTAGATACAGTTGTTTCAGGAGGGGTGCAGCCCAAGGGGCCTGGGAAGGAGGAGGGCCTGTGGCTTCCAGGCACAGTGAGGAAGGCTTCTCAGAGGAGGTGGCCTTGGAATGTTCCGGGTGTGTCTCCTGGTGGCACCTGTTACCAGCTCCCGGTTTTCCGGATGCTGAAGGCAGAGAGGACCTCGGGCACGGCGCAGCGGTCCTGGGTGTTGAGAGAACTGAGAGTGGCAGTGCGAGGCTGGGGAGGCTGGCAGGGACGGATCGGGAGGGCCCTGTGCCAGCTCAGGGAATTTAGGCTTATTCTGTCTTCAGAGAACATGTGACTTGGAGGCAGGCCATCGGCAGCTGGCCTCCTGGCGGCTCCCCAGTTCCCCCTGCAGCCTGTCTTGGAAGCACGCACTCTGCAGCCACCCCTTCATGGCGCCCTCGAAAGGCAGGTGCTCTGGAGGGCGGCGTCGGCTTTCTGGCACTGGTGGCACCAGGTGGAGGGTGTGAGGACAGGCAGCCTGGGCCCTTGCAGATTTGGGTTTTAGAGTGTGTTGCAAGCGGAAGTACTTCTTTCCTTTTAGGTTTATTTCCCCGAAGGCTAACACCCTGTTCCTGAGGTTTAAGGAACTTACTAGTAAACTGGACTTGGAACCAGCGGAGGCCTCAAAGGTGGCTCAGCGTCTCCCTTAGAAGAGGCCCTCTGGCTGCTGTCCGTGGCCGCAGCGGCCGAGGGGAGAACGGAGCACGAGGCGTTCCTGCCATTCTGGTGTCAACATTTCAGTTCATGTTGTGGCAGGGACTGGAGTTTAATGTGGCTAAAGTAGAGGAAATCCACATTTACTGTGCACCTGCTGTGTGTCAGATGCAGGGTGTGGTGTGCTGGCGCTTTCACCAAACCTCGTGTCATTTATCCTCAGGGCTACCTGGGATTTCTGTGGTATAGCCCCGTTTTCCTGCTGGGGAGGAGGGAAGTTGAGGCTCAGAAAGGTTGAGCATCTCCCCTGAGGACTTCCTCTTGGGGTCGGCTTTTCGCCAGTTTGACTGTTGGAGTGTTGATGGTGTTTTGATAATCCTAATTACCTTTGACGTTGCTGACTATGTTCCTTACCATATTTCCCTTTTAATTGGAAAAGCCAAGTAGCACTTTCCGGTTTGTGTGCGTTGGACTCTCCCTGCGTCTTCGTGGCGTGAACGCTGCTCTTGTTTCAGGGTTTCCCCAGAGCAGCGTCTCAGAGATGGTTTGCTGTGGCCTCCCCGGGAGGGGCTCCAGCCCAGGAAGTCCAGGCCTTGTGAGCCGCAGCGCATTTAGAATGTGCTCCCAGGTGGGGCGGGGTGCTCTCACCCTTTTGGAGGATGCACTGAGTTTTTGCTCTGTGGGTTGGAGGACACTTTATTTTGTGCCACATCTTTATAATTTCATTTTTGTATTAAACTCTCATTTTGTCTGTAGCACAGTATGGTTCTGCCTTCCAAGAGAAGTTGATACCCAGTTAGTATAACATCATAGTTAGACATTCCTTCCTTCCTCGTCGGGTCACAGTTCCGGCTTTTATGTGCAGTGCAGTCTATATCTGAATGCTGCATTTCAATTTATTCCTTCATATTTCTACTTTTTTGTTCCTTCAATCTCTGGGAGGGAGAGTAATCTCTCCTCCCTTTTCTGCTCCGAATGACTTTGCTTTTGCTGTGTTGACATTGAGGGGAGGGCCAGGCTTCTGGAAGGAGAGCAGGAAGGCTCTTTGTAAAAGCAATGACACCCAAAAGAGAGTGGTTATCCTTGTTACTGTCAGCTCCAGAACCTTCAGCTACTCGCTGTTTGCTGATGGCAGCTGCCAGCAGAGTGCCTGCTGGGGGCCGGGGCCTAGTGAATGCTTTTCTCCTGGTGCTTTATTTCATCTCCCGAGGCAGGATGGTAGAGCTGGGAGTAGAACCCAGGCAAAGTCCCGTTCTCTGTGTTGTTCTGCTCCATAGGTCAGATTTATTTTTATTAAAAATACTAGAAGCCCGTTGCATGAAGATTTGTGCAATAGGCCTTCCTTCCCCTGGCTGCCGGCACCGGTTTTCCTCTGGCACCCGGGACCAAGGCCTTTGGTCCTGCCGCAGCAAGGCTTGGCTTCTCCACCTCTTCAGTCTTCAGTCTTCACTCTGGCCAGGGCCTTCAGTTTCGCTCCGTGCCTGTGTATGCAAATTAACCGCCATCTTTGTTCGGTTAATTTGCATAGTTGCTCTGATTGGCTGGTGGGCATAGCGGAGTGACACCAATTTGCATGTTTCTCTTTTATTAGTGTAGATATTGATTTCAGAGCGGATGAGAGAGAGAGAGAGAGAGAGAGAGAGAGAGAGAGAGAGAGAGAAACATGAACGATGAGAGAATCATTGATTGGCTGCCTCCTGCACGCCCCCTACTGGGGATCAATCCCACAACCCAGGCATGTGCCCTTGACCAGGAATCAAACTGTGACCTCCTGGTTCATAGTTCAACGCTCAACCACACCAGCTGGGCCATAGGTCAGATTAAAATGCAGCACCAGGTCTCTTTAGTTTTGAAATTTTAAAGGACAGTAGAAGGTGACATAACATATGCCACGTCCTCAGTCCTCTGGGGACTGTGCTGTCCAGGCTGGTGCATCTCTCACCCCCTCTTCCCACCCCCGTCTTAAGCAGAGAACTGTTGGCAGGGCCCTGGGTGTGTGTGTCAGTGGCGGCTTTGACTCTTCCCACTCGGTTATCGTAGGGTTGTGGTATTTATTTTTTCTTTACTGTTTATCCATCTTCACTGAGCCAGCCTTCTGACCTGGGTTTTTATAACTGCAAACTAAGCCATTCATCCACTAGGAATGGCCTCCTTGGGGGTTAGTCCCATAGATCCCAGCCCTGCCGTTAAGTAACAGTGTGATCTTGGGCCTGTTTCTTAACCTCTCTGAGCCTCAGTTTTCACATGCCCTCCTGTGAAGTCCTGAGTGAGCTGGCTGAAACATTTGTGGAGGTCATGCTAAAGTGGGCGTGGTTGGGGTAATCTCACTGCACGTGGCATATACAGCTTATCTTCTTCAGAACAAGTAGAACCTTGTCCTATATGTGTGTTATGAATTCACACACTTCCAACAGAGGCAGCCTGTTCATTGAGAAACACACACACGCACACACACGAAAAAACAGAAACCTGCCCCTGCCTGGCACAGTCCTCATGCTGCCGCCCGGGTTCTCCTGGGGCTGGCGGTGTGGCTGGTGGGTGGTGATGAGGATGGCAAAGATGATATTTTACATATCATCTACGCAGATCCTTTGTTTGTGTATTTTCCTGTTATTTTACATCACAATAGTTTATGTTAAAACTAGCATGTGGTCCTGAATGGAAAGGTGGGCCTGTAGGACTTCTTCCAAGGGTCCCTTCTTTAAAGGGTGTCAGGACATTCGCGCTGTGCAGAGGAAGAGTGGCGTCTTTGGCTTTTACAGCCACTGCCTAAATTTCCGTGTTGATGTTTTTCCTAGTTTCTCCTTGGACCAAGATGACTGATGGAAACCTTTCCAGCTCTACAAATGGCGTGGCCTTGATGGGCATCCTGGATGGTCGGCCAGGAAACCACATTCAGAACCTGCAACACTTGAATCTCAAGGCGCCCAGATCCCTCTCGCTGCCGGAGTATGGGTCCAAGCTGAAACACGGGGCTCTAGACCAGCACAGCCTACAGTCCGTGGACTCGGGCATCCCTACCCTAGAGATCAGCAACCCAGAGCCCGTCCCCTGCAGCGTGGTCCATGTGAAGAGGAAACAGTCTGAGTCGGAGATAGTCCCTGAGCGGGCCTGCCAGAGCGCATGCCCGCTGCCATCCTACGCGCCACCAGCTCCCACCAGCGCCGAGCGGGAGCAGAGTGTGCGCAAGTCCTCCACGTTCCCCAGGACGGGCTATGACTCTGTGAAGCTCTACAGCCCCACCTCCAAAGCCCTGAATCGCAGTGATGACGTCTCCGTCTGCAGCGTGTCCAGTCTCGGCACAGAGCTGTCCACCACCCTGTCCGTCAGTAATGAGGACATCCTGGACCTCATGGTCACGAGCAGCTCCAGTGCCATTGTGACCCTGGAGAATGACGATGACCTACAGTTTACTGACGTCACCTTGAGCTCCATCAAGGAAACCCATGACCTACAGCAGCAGGACTGTGTTGATGAAATTGCAGAGGGAAGTAAATTGAAAAAATTGGGACCATTTAGTAACTTCTTTACAAGGTAATGCCATCTTTGTTTCTCCAGAGGATCGGGGTTGTTGCATTCAGACTGGTTGAACTATTCTTGTCTGAAACGTGTGCGTGTTAGGACACCCTGTTGAGCAGGCCCTGTGTCAGGCAGGCGATCAGGCCTTTCCCCAGTAGCCCAGAGTCCTGTGGGGTGTTGTTAGGACTGGTCTGTGGTGGTGCTGCTTTTTGATTCCTCACTGCTAGCTGTCACTTCTGTGTCCCTGGCTCTCGCACAGTCTGTTGTCACTTCCCGCCCCTGACCTGCTATGCCTGAGGGGGACCCACAATGGTCCGTGTTACCAAATCAGCAGCCTTTGTCAGCCTGATGCTCTCAAGGGCCCTTTATGCTAATACCTTGTGTCTCCTGGGCCAACCAGAGGGTGCTGATGTGGTTGATGTCAGAGTCAGTAACCCACATTTCTCACCCCAGCCCCCATTTGCATAACCCAGGCCTGGTATTTCTGGGTGTCTGTCACTGCTGAGATGTGTGCTGTCACCTGTGTTGGGACTAGGCCATGCACCCCACTCCCCATGGTGCCCTGTCACCCAGGAGCCAAACCATGGCTGCTGGGGTCCCTGTGTCTCACCGCAAGCCCCATGGGGACAGCTCCTACTGCTTTGGCCTATTCTCTGTGCTTTTGTGTTTTTATTCAACACTGTTTGTGTCCCAGGCTCTGCTCTTGGCAGGTAATATGGGAGAATTGTGGTGGTAGGAATAGTAATAAGGAATGACTGTTGGTGGGCTTACAGGCGGTGGAAGCAGGCACAACAGTCAGTCTCACAAGCAAATGGGAGCTCCTAAACCGTGGCATGCTGTGAGGAAGGCACGGGCTGTGGAGAGGGTGTGTGCAGAGCGGCCATATGTTCACAGCTGCTCTTCAGAGGGCCCTGGCCCAGGGCTTGGCAGGTGGGAACATTCCTGTGTCGACCCTGGCTGCCCCATGTGTGTGCCCCCAGCAAAACCCATGCTGGGCACTGCATACAGGGTGTTCCTTCAGACGGTGTGATGCGCTGGCATCAGGCATCTGTGACTGGGCACGCACGCTAACCCGCCGCTGCCTCAGTTGCTTCATCAGCTGGATGTGGGGGTCCTCGCAGATGTGTCCCAGACCTGTCCTGAGTGAGCCCTCTGACCAGGGCTGTGTCTTGTCGGCACCTTTTCTCTGATGTGCTGGCAAACAGGCATGGGGCTCCCAGGAGTAGCGTGCCTGGTCTCAGAGTGCATCACTCAACCATGGCCCTCATTGGGGGGGGACCCAGGAACTTTAGGGGAGACTCACTCTCCCTGCCAAGGCCATGGCCTAAGGTCGTGTAGTGGCAGTTCCGGTTTGTGTGACTGCACTGACCCCTATACGCAGGTCAGTGTTTCAGCGTTTCTTGCTTATGGAACCAGCTGGGTGCCTGTTCAGGCTCCTTAGGATCCATCCCTGAGCTCCAGAATCAGGATCTCAGCGAAGGGCTCGGGGGATAGGCTTTCAGAATCCCTGGGGGTTCTTGGCCAATTTGGGAAACCTTGCTTATGAGGGTGGCTGGGAGCTACACAGAGGAAAGAGCTTAGCTTTGGAATTCAAGAGACCTGTACCCATGTCCTAGCTGTGTGACCTTGCAGAAGTTACTTCACCTCTCTCAACTAGTTTTCTCATCTTTAAAATAACATTAGTAAGTGCCTGGCACATGGTTCTGCTGTGTTCATGTACAGTGTGCTCTTACCTTTGTCGTCCTCGATACCCTTGTGCTTTCTGTCTCAGCTTCCTTGTCTGCAAAATGAGGGTTCTACCCCTTGTAGTCCATGGGGCAGAAGTGGTTCACACATGTGAAGCAGTACAGACCCAGACAAGTGTGAACAGTACAGAACCAGGCAAGTGTGAACAGTACAGACCTAGACAAAGTGTGAACAGTACAGACCCAGACAAGTGTGAGTAGTACACACCCAGACAAGTGTGAACAGTACACACCCAGACAAGTGTGAACAGTACACACCCAGACAAGTGTGAATAGTACAGACCCAGACAAAGTGTGAACAGTACAGACCCAGACATGTGTGAACAGTACAGACCCAGACAAGTGTGAGTAGTACACACCCAGACAAGTGTGAACAGTACACACCCAGACAAGTGTGAACAGTACACACCCAGACAAGTGTGAACAGTACAGACCCAGACAAAGTGTGAACAGTACAGACCCAAACAAGTGTGAGCAGTACAGACCCAGACAAGTGTGAACAGTACACACCCAGACAAGTGTGAACAGTACAGACCCAGACAAAGTGTGAACAGTACAGACCCAAACAAGTGTGAGCAGTACAGACCCAGACAAGTGTGAACAGTACAGACCCAGACAAGTGTGAACAGTACACACCCAGACAAGTGTGAACAGTACAGACCCAGACAAAGTGTGAACAGTACAGACCCAAACAAGTGTGAGCAGTACAGACCCAGACAAGTGTGAACAGTACACACCCAGACAAGTGTGAACAGTACAGACCCAGACAAAGTGTGAACAGTACAGACCCAAACAAGTGTGAGCAGTACAGACCCAGACAAGTGTGAACAGTACAGACCCAGACAAGTGTGAACAGTACAGACCCAGACAAAGTGTGAACAGTACAGACCCAAACAAGTGTGAGCAGTACAGACCCAGACAAGTGTGAACAGTACACACCCAGACAAGTGTGAAGCAGTGCAGACGGAGCAAGCCTTGAAGTCTCAGTTGCTTGTTGAGATTCTCCTGACTGCCTTGTCTCTCTCTGTTTCGGAGCCTCTTCTGTGAGATCATTTCTAAAGCTGCTTGTGCTTGAAAATCCTTTCAGCTGTTTGCCACAGAAATCAGATGTCTCCTCTTTGCTTTATTCCTTGGTTCTTGTCTCCTTATCCTTGTTCTGATGGCTGAAACATTATTGTGAGCCATCATTAAGTACCTTTGGGAAGCTAGTGGAATATTAATGACAAATGAATCAAATATGATATCATGGGCCATGTCTAGTGAGTTTTGTCCTAGAATCTTCAAGTCTTAGAGGAGAGTGTCAATCTAGATTTCCTTTGATGGGGAAAGTGCTCTGGGCCCAAAATGTTTGGAACCTACTAAACATTTTACAGGTGAGTAAATTTACAGGGGACTTACAGCGAGGGTCGGGCACACAGTAGGTACTCAGAGGACTGCAGGCTGTGTGAGTTTCTGTTGAGGGCAGGTCCTTTGGGGTTCTCAGCCCAGGCTTCTGAGTCATCCTGTTTCTTCACTTGATCCCCTGTGCCCAAGCGACTCTCTTTACCCTAGCGCCTGTCTGTTCTCCTTATTCTCACTGAGTCAAGTTCTAGGTTGTAGAAGGAAGTGTAGGCAGGACTGTGGGAGGCTAGTCTAGGACAAAGGGGCTCGGGGAGAGGAAGGGGTGGAGATGGTTGGGAACCTGTGGCCTGAGAAGTAGGCCTGTCGGTGACTCCGGCTGCTTGAGGAGGGTGGCCTGGAGGAGCGGGAGCTGACGAGTAGCAGGAAGGCTGGCTTGGGCCTGGCCACTGCCAAGTGGAAGTGCAGGCCCAGCTCTTGCTCTTATTTTTTTCTTTCATCCAGGCTGTGATAAGCACCCCTGTGGCAGACTCCACTCTGAGCTTAGAGATAGTCCCTGCCCTCAGGAGCTTACTGCTGAGGGGAAGACAGACCCGACCCTGTGGGGCAGGGGGAGGTCCAGCGGTCCAGAGCACGGGCTCAGGAGTCAGGCGGGCTAGCTTCCATGTGCACTCTCCTACTTACTAGCTGTGTGACCTTCGGCAAGTTACTTCACCTCTCTGAGCCTTAAATGGAGCATAAAACTACGGCACAAGGTTAGAGATCAGATAGGTAAAGCATCCAGCACCCTTCTTGACAATACCTAAGTAGTAGCCACCTATGATTCCAATAGAAATCATGATCATTTCTAAAAAACGTGTCCTAAAGCCTTTTCTGGTTCTTGTCCCGACATTGTGCTTCTCCAGTCAGTCACTAGTGAAAGAGTTGCCTCAATGTTTCTCCACTTTGGCACTGTTGACATTTGGGATGGATGAATTTTTGTGCACTAAAGGCCGTTTGGCAGCCTCCCTGGCCTCTACCCACTAGATGCCTGTCACAGCCCCAGTTTTGACAGTGGAAAAATGCCCGTAGACATTGCTAAATGTCCCAGGAGGGTGGGGGGCGGAGGGGGCGGGGGCGGAATCACCCAGCCTTTGAAAACCACTGTGCTAGCAGGTTGTAAAATGTTGGGATTCCATTGCTTCCTTGAAGGAAATTTACTGCTGTCAGTCATGCAGTTCAAGCAGGGCCCTCACCTTGTATAGCGGGACCCTCTAAGCCCAGTGTAGTTGTCAGTGTTTCAGCGGAAGCCCCAGCAGCGGCTATGAGAGGAGCTCAGTAGCACGCTTGTATTGCACAGGACCTGGCTGTTTCTGAGAAGCCCAGGGTTTGGGCTGCTAATCTGCACTGGTCTGGAGGGTAGTGATTAGCTCTGACCACTTACGTCTTCTTTTGTGTAACCGTTTATTAAGCTCTCAGAAGAGATGCTCCAAGTGTCCTTTGCTGATGAGAGGTGGCAAGATGCAAAGAAGGAGCTTGCCAGGGGAAGACAGGCAGAGGGAACAGCTCTCGGAGGCTGAGCGGGGTGCACCTGGCTGTGTTTAAAGAGCTGTAATGATGCTTTTTTCTGGTCTGCTTCCTGGCTGGCTGAGGGCCCCTGCGGGACATGGTCTATGTCTGGTTCACCCTGGCATCGAGCTGTAATCCAGAGATAGAAACGAGGAGTGTGGTGGTCGAGAGCCGAGGCTGCTCAGACCCAGGTTTGAACCCCAGTTCTGCTATTTTTGACCTGTGACATCAAGAAACTCACTTAACCTCTGTGATCTCCAGGGGTACAGGATGACATGGGTTAAATGTACCGCTTGGGATGAGTTGGTGTGAGGGTCAAACGAGATAATACAGTAAAGCTTTGGGCACAGACCAGGAATGCAGGTTGGATTTCTGGCCCGGTGT